ATTATTGAAAAGAGTAAAAAAAGATTTGTTGACTAATTAGATATGGGCAAAGAAAGAGTCAAAGATTTATGTGTCATGAGTGAAATGCAACAAAGAAAGACTGAGGCACATCTTCTCCAAACAGTATAACATTTTATTAATAGGGCATGAACCTGAAAACAGAATGGGTCAATGGCTGCCTCATTTTTAAGCCAAAGACCTCATAATGAAGATGCAACTTCTTTTTACAATCATAGAACAGGGTAGGTGAGGAAATAATACAATTGGTTGTAGGGTGGGTGCGTCATGGAGGTGAGGGATTGTGATTGGTTACGTTAAGGAAAGCAGGCTTACTTGCACATGTGGAACCAAGACCACCCTGCTCTGTTTTAGAGGAATGTTTTATGGATTTATGGGACCCAGCTGCATCCCCAGGCTATTGATAATGAACCAGGGATCGTAGACTCATGGGCCTAGAAATGAGATAAGACTTTCAATTATTAAGGTTGAAGCTAAGAAAGGACAAGGTCAGCTTGTCTGCTCTCAAGCGTAGCAAATAGTTTGTTTGCTCGCAAACATGGAGTTTCTCAAGAGCTGGAGTTATGAGGGATAACAAGTGATTTGCAGGTGGAGCTGATATAACAATTCTCATAGAATTAAAGTGTTTTATGAGAGTATTGAACCTCTAAACTTAGCTCACAGTTTTTCTTTAATTAAAAGTGATCAATAGGAAGCCTGAACATCTGTATCTAACTTGAGAGAGGGGGAATGAACTTTTGAACTCATGGGCTTCTTCACTCAGAGACAAAGAAGAGACTTGGGTCTTTATACCAAATATAGAATAAGGTTACAGAAAATACAGGATCAATATTTAATTTTCACATATGTAAGATTTTTAGGCTGATGTTACTGGGAGAATGACAATACCATTTCATTCACAGAAAGGAGAGTAGTCAGGAATAAATTTTAGAAAGATGATGAGAATGGTTTTGGTTGAGCTTTAGTTATTGATAGACATTGAAGTGAAAGCATCAAAGAGGCATTTAGAAATGCAAACGTCTAACTTGGAAGTTGGATTGTGTTAGTACATAGCATCTCGGAGGGAGGGAATTTAGAGAAGAAGAGCATATTAAGGACTGGACCTTCGGGGACCACCACCACATTTAGGAAATGACAGGAGGGAGAGGAGCCAACAAAGAAGATGGAAGATGACTGATCTGAGAGGTGAAGAAAACTGGGATAGTCTAGCATTGCAGAAATCGAGGGAGGAGAGAATTTTTAAAAGTGAGTAGATGTATTTTTTTTCTGCAGAGAGGTCAAGGAGAATAAGGATTAAGAAAAGGCCATTGGATCTGCCAGCTAAGAGGTTATTGGTAACCTTAATAGAGCAATTTTGGTAGAGTGGTGGGAGCAGAAGCTTAGTTGTTGGGGCTCAAAAGAGTATGAGTGAAGAGCAAGTGGTAAGTGATGATTTATGCAAAGTTTGTGTTCCTGAGTTGAGAATCTCAGAATTGCTCAATGAGCTTATTTTCTATTATATGCATATAAGCCATAAAGATTCATAAGAGATTCAAAACTTTCAGAATAACTGTCAGTTTGTACTTTTAATGTCAGAAAAGTATTAGTATAATACTTTTTTCATATATATGTTTATTTGAAAAAATAAGGTTATGTGGGCTGACTAAAACTTTTTTAACAAAAATAGATAGGTGTGAGCTAAAATAGAAGGAAGGGAAGAAAAACCAAAACTGTTTTAAGAATTATTATTTAAACTAATTTAAACTATTGCTTTGTTCATTTTTCATGAAAGGAACTTGCCAAAAGAAAATAGAGCTTTGTGAAAGCTTTTAAATAAAGTTGTCCTTTAAAAATACAGTTTTACAAATGCGTTTTGGAAGTATAGTCACATGTATGGAGTGGCAAAGAAAATATGAAGGAGAAGAAGCTATTTCTTTTGGTCTTTTTTAGTTATGTTATTTATCAAGGCATCAGCCCTGGCCAAGATGGTATGGAATTTGATGGTATGTTTCATAAATGTGAATGATATATTTCATAGATGTAAGGCTGCATATACCTGATTTTGTCCCATATATAGAAATTATCTATTGGTGAATTTCTGTATACTGTTTTGATTTATATTGAAGGATCTCCATGCAGTACTTTTAAATTCCTCTCTGCCGAGGTCTTGAGGAATGTGGTCTTTTAGGTCGTGTGAATAAATAGAACATCCATTCAGCAAATACTGCATATATTCTATACATAAGGCAATGTGCTGGGCACAGGGCATAAAAAGATTGGAAATAGGACACAATACATATAAGGCAGGCACTGTTTTGGTTTTGTTTTTATCCCTTTTATCTAGCATAGTGCTTTGCACATGTAGGCACTTAATGTTTATTGAATTGGGTTTTACAAGGTAGGGAAACAAAGGAGATATTCCAAGTGCTCTAGGAATTCTGAGGAAGGAGTACACATTTTAGCCAGGGTGGACAGAGAAGGTCTTGTGAAGGAGATGGCACCTGAATTAAGACTTAAAAGAAGAAAATAATCTAAAACGTGGAAATACAAAAAGGAATATATTTGTGGTGTGAATGTGCAAATGTCTCAAGTTAGGAGACAGTATTCCAGAAATCACTAGTACTGTAGCTTTCATGAAATAAGTGGTATGGAATGAGGCTGAAAAATATTGAAGTCAGATTGTGGAGGATTCATTGCCAGGCTAAAGAGTTTTTGTATTTTATATTAAGGAAATAGGAACCAGTGAGTTTTCAAGAAGGGAGAAGACCCAGTCAGATTGGTTCCTTAGGAAGAATTTTTTTGGCAGCTGTAAAGGTTGGATTGGAGAGTAGGGAGCTGGGAGACCTGTTAGGAAGCTATTACAATAGTCCAAGTGAGAAGTGATGCAGACTCAGACTAGAGTGATGGCCATATGAATAGAAAGGAGGTGATGAATGTGAGAGATACTGTAGAACAATCAACAAAATTTGGCAACTGATGACGGAAGAGTCAACAATGACTTCAACTATAGACTTGGTAACTGGGAGATGATGGGGTCATCAACAGAAATTGGGAAGTTTGGAGGAGAGGCAGGATTATGGGGAAGAAGATTTCAATTTTGAACATCTTAAGTTTGAGGTGACAACAGGAAGATATCCAATGCATAATCCTCCCTGTCTTCTTTGCTATGAGTTCTTTTGAATTGTATAGGTTTTACTGTATTCCCCTTTTTCTTCATTGTGACTGAGTAAAGTGGTTGAAAATGTTGACTGTTTTTTTTTAACATAGGGGAAACAGCTAAAACATTTTCAATATAAAAGAAACAGTTATAAATTTTGATTGTCTAAAAAGTTTAGGAAATGAATATATTTTTCTTTAAAAGTCATATAATTTTTCTGTTTGCTTTTTTTTTCCTTTTTAGAAAGTTACAAAGACCCGTGCTTTGTTTTTTAAAGATGAAAACTTGATATTAAGTCACAGAACAACAATCCTAAACACCAAAACTTCTTTTTAAAACTGTCTTTAAAATTAATAGTTTTACAAATGTTTCAAAATTAAGTTTCATCCAGGCCCAGAGAATAAGATCAGGGACTAACTTACTTTCATTCACCAAAGTAGTCTATTTATAGTACACATTTAGCACAGGTTTTGTCATATTGCCTTCAATTGTCATCAAAAAATAATTTAGGGGTCTGGGAGCATGTGATCTCAAATTCTTCCACTTAAGCATGAGTTCTTAAAATTGAGAGAAAGGTCTTTGACCTCTGGAAGTATAGAAACAGAACTAGGGTTTGAAACTTATAGGTAAATGAAAATCTAAGAAAGGCCTAATTCTTAGTTGAATTTACTAGGTTTCTAAATGTATGCTACTACTTATTGATCAAGGTTAAGAGCTCATGTGCCAATGCCTGCATACACTCTTAAGATACAAGAAGATACTAATAGTTTTTGTTATATGACCAGATATAATTAGCTTTCTTCTCATAATTTATTGTTGTTTGAATTTTTTGTAACTTATAATAACTTTATCTCACTCGTCAGTACTTGAAACTGGTTGTTACTGACTGTTGTGATCCACATCACAGGTGTATCTTTCATTTGTTTTTCCTTTCTATGAGAAATACACTCTGTTTCTGATTTATAACTTGAAGCTTTGTAGTCAGAAGTAATTGTTTAAAACTGTCTCAAAGCCCTTCAAAGCATATTTAAGCCTTAGAGTTCTGCTAAACTGTCATACTTGTTTAATAGAGAGTCCTATATCAGACAACCATCCTCCAACCAACTGCTTGCTATAATTAATATTGTTTCTATTATGTTTGATCACTAGACATGGTGGTGACATTCAGCAAGGATAGGCATTGAAAATCCCTTGAACTGATTCAGCTGAGCCCTTAGTCCCCTGAGTCAACCATGTCTCAAGGAGTGTCTCAATAACTTTTAAGAAAAAACTAGCCTAATCTGCCTGAGATTAGGTTATTAAAATGATGAAACATCAAAGTAGGTCTTTAGTAGAGGGAGTAAAATATAAGCTTGCAAAATTCAACACTAATCAGTGGAGTTTTAGAGGGAATAAAAAGAATATTGATCCTGATGTTCTATACCCCAGGTTGAAGGGTTTACGTAAGTGTGGGAGAACATGGATCTTCAGTTTGCCCAGAGGACCTGCTTACCGTTCACCAGCATGGAATCCCAAGTATTTATGTGCAGTACCCACATATAATCCTGATGGCAGTGATGATATTTCCATATCACTTCACTTTATCTCTAGAGAATAAAGATATAGAATGATATTTTAACTCTCAGTATAAAATTTTCTCTTTCACCTGTTAGAATATCAGAATGTAATCTATCTTGAATTGTCTGGTACTTTTAAGGTCTCTTTTTTAAAAAATAGTTTTTCACAACACCCTTACTTATTTGGCGAAATGGATTTAAGCATTAAGTCAAATTTATTATTTTCATATTGTTCTATTTTTACCATCAGGAATTTGTTTCAGTGACAATGTGATGTATTATACTTTTAGTCTGGCAGCAGTGAAGCCATCCATGATACTTCTGGAAAATGTTAAGATACATCTGAATCGTCCTGTGTGGATTAATGCCGATATACTTCCTGGTCCCAAGGGGAAAAACAATGAGTTGGATGCAAAGAAATTTCTAGACACCGTGACATCCTTCTTCCCAGATGTGACTTTGTCCCTGGGCTGGACAACTGGGTGGTACCCTAATCAAGTTAATGAAGGTAATAAAGCAAAATAATCATTTAATTGTATTTACTTATTCCTGATTTATACCAATCTGTTCCCCTCAAAGGATTTGCAGCAACAAAGTTAAAACACATATAATAAAGCATTACAGTTAAAAATAGGGGGAAAAGTAGTTAAAAGGAACAATAGTCACTATTTACATGTAGGTAAAATGAAAACACCCTTCAAATTCAATAATAGTTTTTCCCTCCAGAATAACAAAAATGTTAAAGATATTGATGGATTCCTTCTGATCCTTTAAAATTTCCAATCTATAATGTAGTACCTCACATTTATTTATTTTTAAATTTATTTCCCTATTAGCCATGTTGCCAACACACACACACACACACACACACACACACACACACACACACACACA